CTTTCCTCTCTGTAAAAAATCAATAAAAAAGTGATTATTCTATGTATGAAACATTATTTTACATAAATCTAATGGCTACCACAAAACAAAAATACAGAGCTGAGATAAGGAACATTCAAAAAGTAAAGAAATTGGGAAAACCATATATTTATGGATATATAATTAGAAATTTTTAAAAAACATAAAATGGCTGCAGTAAATCCTCATCCTATATAATAAAAGCCTAATATGCTAAGTGACCGGTTGTCCAGTGACTGGTCAACTGTTCAACTAATTCAAGTGTAATATGTTAATAATATGCTAAGGCTATTCAACTGCTTGCTATAATGTACACTGACCATCAAGGGGCAGTCAACCACTTGCTATGACATTCATTGACCATCCAGGGACAAATGCTCTAATCGGCAAATTAGCTTGATGCTGAGGTCTGGCTGATCACAACTGAGCTAGACAGGCCAGACATGCCCTAGAGCCCTCCTGTGATCTCTCCCTGGCCCAAATGTGCATGAGTGGGGTCCCTCAGCCTAGCTTGCACCCTCTAGCAATCTGGGACCCCTCAGGGGCTATCAGCCAGTTTCAGCTCTATCTCACAGGCCACTTCCCTTGGGAGAGTGCCAGACACAGGGCTCATGGCTGGTGATCACTGTTGTGACAGCACAAGCCTTTCCTGATTGGAATTGATTGGGTAGAAACCCGTGGCAGGCACAGTGGGGCTGGGATGAGAAGGAGAGGCAGATAGGAGCTGCAGGTGGTGTTAGACTGCGGGTTTCAGCAGGATCCCTTTAGGCCACCCAGAGGGGCCCTACCCATGCATGAATTCATGCACCGGGCCTCTAGTAAATCAATAATTACCTTAAATGTAAATGGAGCAAACTCACATATCAGAAGGCACACAATAGCAATATGGATTAAAATAAACAAGGCCTAACCATATATTGCCTGAAGGAGAATCACCAAAGATAGGCTCTAAGTGAATGGGTGATGATACTCATAGCAAATGACATCCAGAGACCACATCCTACCACAAAAATCTACAGGACCCAGGGTAGCAGCTGGCCTTGGTATACCCTGAGACTTTTGCTGAGTTACCTCAGACCCAGCACTGGCACCAAGTTTGAATCTCTATCAACCTGATTAATACTACTCGCCCCTATTTGGTGATTCAATGAGAACCTATGTCACACAACTTGAGAACACCACCAGAAGTTCTTTCAGTGACTAAGCCTAACAGGCAGCCAGCAGGCAGAGGCAAATTTCAGGGTGCCTTGGGCTTTTTGTTGACCTGCCACCAGGCTCAATGCTGATGGAAGCTAACCTTGGTGTGCAGGTTGGCCCAGGAAGCCCACAGCCAGTCACAGGCAGAACCTGACATGATCTGCACTGGAGTCCTTCACATGGTCAACCCTCACAGTGAGCCAACCCGAGGGCCAACCTGACCCACAAATGGGCCAACAGAAATCATGACTGAACTGCAACAGGAGGGCTCACATAAACCACACAAAGGGCATGCCTGGAATACCTGTCTCAAGTAATCAGGGAGAATGCACCACTGAGCCCTTCAGGTAACCTACTACATAAAGGCACCCTATCAGGAATGGGAGACATAGCAGAACCACCTAATTAATACACAGAAACAAATACAGAGAAGAGCCACAAGGAGGGAGACAAAAAAAATTTGTTCAAAATGAAACAATAGGAGCAATCCTCAGAAAAATAACTAAATGAAATGGAAGCAAGCAATCTACAGTTCATATAAATATAGATAGGTAGATAGATAGATAGATAGATAGATAGATAGATAGATAGATGATAGAGATATAGATATATAGATATATATCCTCAAGGAACTTAGAACTTCAACAAAGAAGAAGCAAGCATAACAAAGAACATAGAAACAATAAAATTTAAAAAGAAGAATTCAATATTTGAAATGAGTCATACACTAGAAGGAAATAACAGCAGAATGGATGAAGCAAAAAATAAAATCACCTATTTGGAAAACAAGGTAGCAGAAAACAAGCAATCAGACCAGCAAAAAGAATTTTAAAATGAGGATAGTTTAAGGAACCTCTGAGACAACATCATGCACAACAACATCTATATCAGAGAGGGTCCCAGAAGGAGAAGACAGCAAGAGATTGAGAAACTATTTGAAGAAAGCAATGACTAAAAACTTCCCTAACCTGGTGAAGTAAAAAGACACACAAGTCTAGGAAACACGGAACCCAAAGATGAAACCAGAGTACCACACTAGGACACTTCATAATTAAAATGCAAAAGGTTAGAGACAAAGAGAAAATCTTAAAAACAGTTTGTTACTCACAAGGAGCTCCCATTAGGCTGTCATCTGATTTTTCAACAGGTAATTTTCAGGCCAGCAGGATTGGCATGAAATATTCAAAGTGATGAAAAGCAAGGATCTACAGCCAAGACTACCCAAAAGGCTAGCATTTTAAATTGAAGGAGATCAAAATGGCTTTTCCCCCTTCCTCTATATAAAGCAAATAGGAGGGGAATAGTGCTCTTATATATACTGTGAGTACTTAGTTGAGTTCCTGGAGGTTTTCCTAATCCTGTTATTCTGGATCCCATGGATATTTCTGCTCCTGAATCTGACATGATCTGCACGGGAGTACACAAATCAAAATTGTGTGCTCGGTTGGGGGGTCCTTGGCCTGGCATGCACCCTCTCGCAGCCCAGGAGCCCTTGGGGGATGTCAGACTGGCAGCTTAAGCCCGCACACAGATCCCACAGGAGTCAGACACCCGCAGTGCTGCCATGGAGGTGGGAGAGGCCCCCACCGCCTCGGCTGGACTGCCAGCCCTGAGCACAGCGCCTGGATGAGCAGCGCTTCTCCGAGGAGGAGAAGAAATTGAGCAAGGAATGGAAAGCCTGTTTGAAGAGATAATTACAAAGCACTTCCCTGATATAGGGAAGAAAGACCCCCAAACAAATCCAAGAAGCTGACAGTGTCCCAAGCAAAATGAACCCCAAAATACTGACGCCAAGGCACATTATAATTAAATTGGCAAACACCAATGACAAAGTAAGAATCTTGAAAGTAGCCAGAGAGAGACAGAAAGTTACATACAAAGGAACTCTTGCTGTACTCTTCATCTAGATGACCCCCACCCAGGTCACTGGCTTTAAATACTATATTTTTCTCCAAATCGCTCTCTCTCTCTCTCTCTCTCTCCCCTCCCCCCTCTAGAACTGATTTCTCTCCTAAATTCCGGATTCATAACTCAATAGCTTATATCTCCATTTAAATGTCTCAAATATTTCAAACTTAATATGTTGAAAGCAGAAGCCCTTGCCCATGCCACTACAAAGCCCCACCAAAATAAGACAGCTAAGTTTACAGAGCCCTCTAAGTATTGCAGATTCTATACTAAGTGCTTAACATGTATTAGTGCCTTTAGTTCTCATCCCACCACCAGGAGACAGGTACCATTATAGTTCTCATTTTAGAGAACAGTAATTGAAACAAAATAAGTATCCCACAATCATACATCTCTTAAATAGGTAGCACAGCCAGGATTTGAAATCAAATCATCTGATCCAGGAACATGCTCCTGTTATTCTTAATTTCATCTGCCCTTAGTACAAAGAACTCTAAAAGTCATCATTTAGTCATCATCCACTTCCAATCCTGTACCCTACATCTCCAAACATGGTCTTGAGTACTTCTCTCCATCTCCACAGCTATCACCCTTGACATAGCCATCATTTTGCTCATGTGTTCAATAACCTCCTAACTGGTCTACCTCCTTCCACTATGACTGTCTTCCCTCACAGCAGTGAGTTTTCTTCTTCCTCTTCTGTAATATTCACCCAAGGATATATTTTATGATTTTCAGAGAGAGGAAGGGTGAGATAGGGGTAGAGGAAGAGAGGGAGAGGAAAAGAAGGGGAGGGGGAGAGGGAGATGTTAGAAGCACTGATCGGTTGCCTCCTATACGTGCCCCAACCAGGGATCAAAGTTGCAACCTAGGAATGTGTCCTGACCAGGAATGGAGACCGAAACCTTTTGATGTACAAGACAACACTCCAACCAACTGACCCTCCCAGCCAGGACAGCAGTGAGTTTTCTAAAGTAAGAAGAGATGTCACTGCCTTGTTGAAACCCCTTTATGGGCTGCCATCTGCTGGACCATGGCTGAAGCCTTTGTGACCTGAGCCCTATCTTCTCCAGCCCACACCCCACATTAGCCTTTGGGGCTCCTACTTCTGGGATATGCCAAGTACACGGTCCCACTCCCTATGGGCCTTTGCTCTTGCCTTGGATCAAAACCATTTTTCTCCCAGCTCCTTCATCCTGAAGGTCTCCATTGTCATGTTGCCTCTTCCCAACCACACTATCTAAAGGGTCACTGACAAAGCACCCTGCTTCCTCTATAACACTTACCATATCTGAATCAGAGAAAATGTAATAGTAAAGGCCTGGGACAAATCCCTCGTCCACCTGAGCTCACATCCTGGCTCCATCCCATGAGGTCTCTGTGGCTGCCTCTCTTCTGTTAAGAATGGTTATAATAGACCCCACTTCCTATGGCTGCTGCGATGAGTTACAATAATGTCTGGCACTTACTTCCTGCTGTTGAAGTATTTGCTATCCTTATTGTGTGTACTTGAGGGCAAGGACCTGGCCCCTAGATCATCTCTATATTCCCAGTGCTTATAACACCCATCTTATAAAAGTTTGTCAAATGAATACTATTCCTCTTCATTGTTCCCTTAATAAAAGTGATAAAGTGACAGTTATGTACCATTTCTCAATGATTTTTTTTATTATTTTACCCTGGATTCACCAATTAATAATGTGCCTTCATGGTTTATTTTACATGCATTTATTTCATTCTATATAATTATATAACCTAGAAAAAGTACAAAAGCCTAGTTCATTTTCCAAAACCCAGTCAGAGCTAAGGTACAAAGAAGAAACAGTACAGTAAGTGACAAGAAGTGCTGGGGTGACCTGTACAAATCATACTGTCTGTCAGATGATGTATTTAATGCTATAAATATTGCCACAGGAGAATCTCTTGTCTTTGCAGCGGCCACAAAGTTCCTGTCGATGAGGCCTCCTTAGGTCAATGTTTCTTTTCTTTAGCGGACAGGAACAACGGGACTTTAAACAAGTCTTTAGAAAATAAGGAACAATTTGGACACAATCAAATTAGTCTTTCAAATGTAATCCTCAAACTAAAATACTTCCCATCACCCCCTCCGTGGTATCTTCATCCTCCTTTAGTCCTAGGAAAAGTCCAAGACCAAGTTGTATAAAACCACTCTTATCCCATTAAATGGCATGCATTTGTCAATATGAGGGATGAAAGATGTTTTAGAGAATATCACTGAGCCAATCAAGATCTCATGTAAGAGAAAAGTTTTAACATTAGAATTTTATAGAGTATCTTTACTGTGTAGGTGTTCATATTTATAACCAGGTGGGAATGAGGGGCAGTGGGTGAGTATTAAGTGATTTGATTATCTACATTGGAACACTTAAAAATATCAGCACAGTGATTCTCAACCAATTGTATTTTACCCACCAGCAAACATTTGGCAAAGTTTGGAGATATTTTTTATTATTACAACTAGAAAAAAGGGTGTTATAGAGGTAGTTAAAATTTTTCTTTTCTTTCTGGACATGCCTGATCTTTACTAGAATTTAAAGTGTTTTAACCATGATCCCTTCCTATCTTCTGATAAATAAAATTACACCCCATGGAGACTGATATACTGCCTGGCCCATCCTCCCAATTAATAATCACTGCTCTATTTTAGGTATAAGTCCATAGCCAAACAGAGTAGGTCAAACTATACCTTCTATATTGTGAAAATAGGCATTTTAATTTTTCAAACAAGAGTTTTAAGTATGATTTATCAAATCTTTTAATACACATTTATAGGTTCCTCTCTCCTATTGATAAGTATGTGTCCTTATAAGAAAATTCTAATAGCAAATACTCGCATGATACTTACTTTATGCACTGTATTTGCACTTTATATAGATTAACTTAATTCTCACAATACCCTTGTAAGGAAGAAAAGGCTCAATTAAAAAATTAGGTTTTCTCTAAAGATGGGCTTCTGTTTCTGGCAATAATAGATTAGTACTTTTGACCAAGCTTCCCAGACAACTGGAAAAGCTGAGCTAAAAAGTAATAATAATTCTTTTTAAATAACTATTTAAAGGCACCAGAAAATTATCCAAGCATTAGAATAAAAAAGACAGAAAGAGAAGTGAGCCTGACATTTGGGACTATTTTCTTTCTAAAGGTATCTGCCAATTCTGGAAGAGGTGAAAGACATTAGACTTCTGAAAATGGGTTTAACAGAGGGGTAAACTTAAATAGTATTCCAAAATGGAAGAACCTAATAACCAATTCAAATTTTGTATTGAAACTCTGAAAGGCGATCCTGTAAGGATAAGGATGAGCCAAAACGTGACCAGCCTTCTCAGATTCCAAAGCCCAGTTTCAAAAGAGCTCATCTCTGATTGGAAAGTAGTGAACTGAATTGTTAGTCTGCCCACCAGAAGCAAACAAGTCTTCTGTGGAAGAAGATACTACCTGAGGCCTCAATTATTACTGTAATTTTTCATATACAACATCTAGCCCTCAATCAAAAATAAAAAGGTACAAAAGGAAACAAAACAGCACACTTTAAACTGAGGGAAATCAAGAACATAGCAACAGAACTATAGGGAATGGAGTTATATGATACAGATATTAAGATAATTGTGCTTAATATGTTTAAAGAAATGAGAATTGTATTTCCAGCTGAAAACTGAAAGTCATTTTTTTAAAGACAAAAATTTTAGCACTGAAAAATACAATATCAAATCGGTAACTCAATAGCAGATAATGCATGTAAAGCACTTAGCCCAAAATTTGGCACATAGTAACAGCTTAATAAAGGCTACCCATTAAATTATTACATCCATACACAGGGTGTTTGAGAAAAAAACACACTATCCCATACATAAACACACCACCTAAGGCAACTTAAGACTAAATCTCCCATTATTACCCCAAAATTTTTTTTTCTTAAAATATTAGAAAAATTTAAATATATAGAAAACCTAACACTCCTACACAAATATCCAATTCTATCAAATCCAAGCATTATGCCCCAAAAGCTTCATGGTAACAATGAAAACATTTTAGACACAAGGAAGTGTTCTATATTCTTACCTGACACTGGATTGCTTCTACCCGATAAGGGTTAAAACTCTTATGGCATTTGCAACAGAGTTGTTTGAAATAAACCTAAAGAGAAATTAGTATTTTTTTAAATCCAAGTTTATATGTACCCTAGGCTCCAGTTTTTAAGTAACTCATTCCTTTCCTTTGTAGCACCAATACATATGGTTTCTAGGCTTTGTACATTTCCTCGGGCACTCTTCCTCCCTATCTTACTTGGTGAACTCCTATTAATCCTGCTCAGTTATGACAATGCCTTCCTCCTGACAAGGTTACTCATCCCCTCCGGTGTTATTTCTGTGCCATGTCCATGCCATACGTGTCACTGATTGTCACCAAAGCACACTGTGCCTGCATCACTGCTATCAGTATAAATGCCTTGAGGATGAGTTCTATGTCTTTGTATCGTAGTGTCTTAGTGGGTTTGAATTAAATCCACCGCTTTTCTTCTGGCAAGAAAAGGAGAGTACTTTTAGTTTAGTTTAAAAATCTACTTACCTTCAGATACAGTAAATGACTAGTGTGAAAAGTCATGCTTTCATTCAGGCCTTAGCACACCTCTCCCTCTACAGTTAGGGATTCCAACTCAAATGTTCATAGAAGTTGGGACATAGACCAGCTGTAGACTGTTACAAAATGAAGGGAAAGGAGAAAGAAGCTGCTTAGCCCCAACCTACTGTTCTATGATGTGATTGTTCTAGAAAATCTTCCTCAATCTGAATATGTTGACAACTAACTCAAAGTAAGGGAGGAAACTCCTTAGCCTAAAGAAGTTCTCTTGTTGCCCTGCCTGTGGATAGACAATGGTAATTCCTTAGCGCTAATGCCCAAACATATTCAAAAAACAACTGAAAAATATTACATAAAGTCCTAATGTTCACAAGAACAAAAGTTCATTTATTATAAATAACCTGATATGTGGTCCAACGTAAGTACCAAACCTAACAGAACCAACATCAGGACATGGGTCAGCAGCCTCAGGAGGTCAGGTGGACTGTCCAGTTCAATTCTTTTACTGAGCACCTATTCTGTGCCTGGCATGGAGGATGCCAAGACGAATGAGACAATATTAAGTTATGCTCCATTAGGAAATACTTTCTTCCTCCACTGTACCTGCCCAGCCCTCATCCATGTCCCAAACACTTTTACTCACCTTACTAGTTCCAGAAATGCACCACACATAAGCACTCTCCCATCTAGTCTTACAATCCTTACAGTGAAAATAGGCATATTTTCGCTCCAAAAACTGAAAATAAAAGAAGTGTCTTTTATTATCCGGAGGGAAAAAAGCCAGATCCTTCTTTGCTTATGGCTTAGTGTAAGAAATACAAAAAGCCTCCTTAACCTCACTTACAGCTGTTCTCAACATTATTATATTAATTTAGTGTCTCATCTCTGAAGGATTACTCTGGGATTCTTCTACCTGTTGCCTCTCACACTTTTTTAATCCATTTTCCACAATTCCATAAGCACAGTCTCTCCAGAATGAGATTATGATCATATACTTCACAGACATGAAATCCTTCTTCATCAAACCCAATTAATAATGGTTGCCATACTCTTGGTTTGCTCATGCTTAAAGCTGGCACCATATTTCACCAGTTATGTTACAAAACACAGAGGCCATGTAAAACACCAGTTTTCACACCCAGCCAGGTGGTTCCGTTGGTTGAAATGTCATACCATACCCCAAAACAGTTGTGGGCTTGATTTCTGGTCAGGGCACATAACTTTGGGTTCAATCCCTGACTGGGCAATATGTGAGGCAACCAATCAATGTTTTTCTCTCACATTGCTTGTGCTCTCTCTTTCCCCTTCCCTCTCCCTCCCCTTCTCCCCTCCCCTTTTTCCGCCCGCTGAAATCAATAACATACGTCCTTGATAAGAATATTTTCAGAACTTCCTCTCCTTCATCAAATAAAGGGAGGAATCTAGGAATATTTTGTTCTTTTTGCCCCAGAAACAGAAAAGAGAAAAGAGAGGAAGAGGCCAGCAGAGGACTGAGGAGGGGTAAGACTAAGTTCACCTGGAAGCTGGGTTTCCTGAGGGGGTGGGCATCTCCCTGGGCCCACTTGCTCCGCCCAAGACTAGAAGCATCTTCCTCCAGCAACTTGTCCTGCTGCCACAGTTCCTCCTGCTTGTCCTCTTGTGACCTTGGCAGTGGTGATGACTTCTGCTGCTGCTGGCTTTCCTCTGCGGGACTGGAAAGGGCATCCCTCTTCTCATCCTTCCCAATCTTCCGCAGCCGGATCAAGCCCCGGAGGTCCTTTACTGGTGAATAGAGGTCCCAGGCTGGTAGGGGTGCCTTGGGGTCCCTGCAGCCCCAAAAAGAGCAGCTGCACAGGGTGAGAGGGCCCAGCGAGCACTGCACAGACCTGTCCACAGGTGGGCTCACCTGCACGCCCACCTCCTTGGTGTTGGCCTTGCACAGCCGCAGGCCCACGCTGGGGTTCATCTGGGAGAGAATGGCCTTAAGCTGTGCCCTCTTGTAAGGGTCACTGCAGTAGGCCCAGGCATTGGTGGGCACCACCAGCCCCGTCCTGGCCAGGAAAGTGGGGGCACCAGTGTTTTGTCTCCAGTCAGGCTGTTGGTGGTCAGAGAGTCCAGGCTGGACCAAAGGCAGTGTGTTCCCATAGTGTGTTCCCTGGTACAGGCCCTGGGGAACTTGAACAAAGTGGTCCATCTGCTGTCCAGGCTTAGCACAATATATCCTGGTATAGTTTGCTTGTGTCCTTATTCTGCCTTCCACCTTCATCTACCCTTCTTTCTCCTGATCAAGTTGGTTCAGGTTCATCCAAGCTTCTCCATTTATTTCAGATTCTGATGGAGCTGCTGCCTGTTACCCTAATTGAAGGGAGTGGTGGGAGGAGAGCTACCTACTTTCAAAGGCCTAATTACCACGTGATTCTAATTGTTCTTCCCTATCTCTTCAATTTGCTGCTTCTAAATCTCTTTCCAAAGCTGTTTTTCATTGCTGATTTATTCACACACATGGTATAATTAGCCACTCATTTATTTATTCCCGTGGTAATATACCATTTCAAGATCATTTTTAATGCATATAATAAAACAAATTCAAGATGTAATTTGAGCAGTGTTGTACCAAAAGAATATAAGGGAAAATGCATTATTATGGCAAGGCTAATGAAAGTAAAGGCCAAAGGAGCAGGGAGCATAACGTTATGTAAGGAGGGGTATATATAGTGAGAGAAAATATATTTCAGAGGGTTATATGACATGCCAAAGGCTCCTAGTGAGGACCACTACTTGCCCCCCCAAAAAAGGTGGGAGAAACAAATTGATCTGATTTCGTGGGTGAATACATATTTAATAAAATGATAGTGAAGTATCTGAGGTCAACCCCACTTGTTATATGATTATTTTAAGGTTAAATGTGAAGTGCAAATCAGATTCATATGTTGAGTAAGTGGCAGATATCCTATATAATAAAACCCTAATATTCAAATCAACCAAACAGCTGAACAACCAGTTGCTATGATGCTCACTGACCACCAGGAGGCAGATGCTTAACCCAGGATGCTCCCACAAGGGAGCGCCACTCAGCCAGAAGCCAGGCTCAAGGTGAAGAATGGGCCTAAGCCAGCAGGCAGATATCTCCAGGGGTCCCAGACCTCAAGAGGGTGCAGGCCAGGTTGAAGGATTCCCCCCTACCCCAGTGCATGAATTTCGTGCAACAGGCCTCTAGTTAGATAGGAATCCCAAGCCTGTGTTTCTTTGCTGTTAAAAATCTAGGTGATCATAAGCTTTGGTATTGCTCTGTATTCGTCAGCTTCCTGCTACAGCTGAGGTTATGATCAAACTGAAATGACATCTAAGGAACCAAATAGAGCCCACCCTTTTTCTAATCCAAGGCTGCTTCTGCTGTTTAATGCTCAAGAACCTTCCAGAAGCAGCAGGGCCCAAGGGCAGCTCCCACCTCCAGAACCCAGTGGAAGGCTTACCAGGCCATAAACAAACCCGAATTAAGCCTTGTGGGCAGGTCAGACCCTGCACATGAGGACAGGGCCCTGCCTTCCAGGGAAGTTTGAGGGGGAGGACAGCTCACACAGGGTGGTCAATACCCTAACAGTGTAAAGGGCTCCAGGGCAGCCTGCAGAGGGGAGCAGCGCACAGCACAGAAGTTACAGTGGATTCCCCATTTCTCAGGCAGGAGACAGGCTCCAAGTTCTTGAAGCCGCTAACTAAGCGCATCCCAGGAGTAGAGCTTCACCTGTCAGCCCGCCCACTCCACAGGGAGCAGCAGCCAGAAATAGTCATCCTCCTGAAATTGGACAATGAGTGGATCTGGGCAGCCGCTCACTACTTGAGCCATTAAGCATGAGACAGGGTTGAATCTTATATGAGCGTTTATTCCAATAATACTGGCAGCAGGTCATTCTGAAAATCTGCTCTGCCACTCCTCCCACAAGCCAGCTAATTATATTGGGTAAAAGAACAAAGATTACATAAGGAAGTCGGTAAAAGGATAAAAATGGGTATAATAGTTATAGATTACAGGCAATGCCAGGCTGGGGTTACAAAGGGCAGGCACCTCTGAGGACTCCATTGTTTTGGCAGCAAGGTTGTTAATCTTTCCATGATAATGAGAGGGAGAATCAAGATGGCAGTTAGATAAATGCAATGCTCACCACCTCCCACAATTACAACTAAAATATAAAACAACCATCATTCAGAACCACCTGAAATCTGACTGACTGGAAGTCCTGCAACTAGAGAAGTAAAGAAAAAGCACACTGAGACTGGTAGGAGGAGCAGAGGTGTGGAATGGACTAGTCCAACACCTACATGTGGCATTTTTTTTTAATGGGAGAGAGATCTAGGTTGTGGAGGTCTCCTGTGAGGGGTTCTAGCCCCAAAGCAGACCCCTCAACCCAGGGATCCAGAGCTGAGAAGAGAAGAACCTGTAACTTTAGGCTGTAAAAACTAGTTGGGATTGTGGCTGAGGAGAGCCAGACAATTCCTCTTGAAGGGCCTGCACTTGAGCTTGCTCAGATTCACTCCCTCTGAGCTCCAGCACTGGGCAGAAGCTTGGGGGAATCCAGCGACATATGGGAAGGAACTAGATTGTCTGGCATTGGAGCAAGAACTCAGGGTGGATTTATTCCTGACAGGGGTCCTCACAGCAATCATTGTCCCCATGCTGAGACCTCTCTGATCTTGGAGATGACAGAGATCATACCTGAGTCTCCACCAACCTGTCCCACGTTGTCCCTTCCTCCCTGTGATTCCCTGAGACCCTGTCCCACTCAATTCGCAGCCCCACCCAAGATGTTTGTAGTGGCTTTTCCGTACAAATGTCCTGTCCTGGCTCAGACTTAAGACTTCCCTAAAATCTCTCAGCCAAGCAGCAGTAGGTGTCAGTGTGCTCCATATCACTCAACAAGAGGGCCCAGGCCTAGCATTAGCAGCAGCCTGCCTTGTTTCACAGCTTGGCCTCTCCCGGGCACTTTCAAGCCCAATACAAGTAGCAGTCATCTACAGATGGTTCTGTAGCTTGTGATTGGTGGCCCCAGGGCACTATCAGTGGCTGACTTTGCACCTGGGTGGATGAGAAGGAGGGAGAGGAGAGGAGCCAAGAGCCAGTGCAGCGGTGAATAGCTTCAGACCACACCAGATTACAACTCGACACATCCATGACTGACAAAGGGCAGAATGAATCAGTGAGCACCACAGCTCCATTGAAGCAAATCCTGCTCCATAGAGGCACCTCCTGAACATGAGTTCTTCTGCTGTAGGCACAGCTGGTCCTCACAGCTAATTGAACTGGGGGGTCAATCCCTCTAAGTGATGCCAATAGCAAGCAAGGCTCAACTATAACAGTCTAAACAGGGCACACCTAGAGTGCCCATCTCAGGTGACTGGGGAGGCTGAGCCACTGGGCCCTATAGGAGGCTACTCTACTAATTCCAGGAGACATAACAGCTCTATCTAATACAAAGAAACAAACACAGGGAAACATCCAAAATATGGAGACAAAGAAACATGCCACAAATGAAAGAACAGTAGAAATATCCCCCCTACCCCACCCAAAAAAAACTAAATGAAATGGAAGCAAGCAAACTACAGATATAGAGTCCAAAACAATGATTATAAGAATGCTCATAGATCTTAATAAGAGCTTCAAGGATCTTAATTTTCTTCAAGAAAATTAGTGAAACAATCAAAGACATAAGAAAAGACCAATCAGAAATTAAGGATACACTAACACGAAGAATAATTTACAGAAAATCAACAGTAGAGTAGAGGATGCCAATAATCAAATCAGCAATTTGGAATGTGAGGAAGCAAAAAAAAAAAAAAAACAAAAAACAAAAAAAACACCCAATCAGAAGAGCAAAAAAAATGAATCCAAAAATATGAAAATAGTGTAAGAAACTCCTGGAACAACTTCAAGCATATCAACATTCAAATTATAGGGTTGCCAGAAGGAAAAAAGAGAGCAAGAAATCAAAAAACTATTTGAAGAAATAATGACAGAAAACTTCTTCTACCTGGTGAAAGAAATAGACTTACAAGTTCAGGCAGCATGTAGATTCCCAAAACAAGATGAATCCAAAGAGGCCCACACCAACACACATAATTAAAATGGCAGTTTAAAGACAAAGAGAGAAATTTAAAAGTATGAAGAGAAAAACATCTTCCCCTTGAGTGAATATTATACAGGAACTTCTAAGACCACAACTCTTGCACATCCCAGATACTGCATCAACAGAAGCTGCCTGAAACACGGTCCAGATATGAACATCAACCGAGGCCTGCAACTTTACCTAGGCACATAATAGCCTGCTCCCTCCCCATTCACCACCGATTCCTTTCTCAAAGTCAATCCACCTGCACCCAGGTGCCTTGAATAAATATCATTTTGATTACTCTCAGCCTTGAGTCAGTTCTGCTACTATGGCCCAATCCACAACCTTTCCGTTGTGCTGAAAACCCAGGAAGTGGACCCAGGACAGGCCCTGACTACCAGAAACTAGGCTTTGCCACTCCGAGAGACTGTGATCAACTGGCTCCAGAGCAGGCCTTTTGCCCAGGGGAGACACCTAGCCACACTTACACATGGCTAACTTCCTGCTGGTTGCTGAGAATTTGCCTGGATCACACAACCCTTCCCTCACCTTTTTGGGCTGTATGTCACACAGACAACCGGATTAGAGAGCAACCGTTTCTCTGCCCTCCAGACATCAACACCAGACACTGAATTGCCTAGTAAGTGGCTTTAGTTTGCTTTCCTCCATCCATCCGTCCTGAACAGTCCTGTCATGCGGGGCTTGGAGCCAGGCTCCATGCTGTTGCTGTACAGCTGTTCCCCCCACCGAAAATCCACTGCTGGCCAGGACAATTCCTCCAGGGTAACCAGGTTCCCTCTGCCATTCTCCTGATGGGGATGCCTGTCGTGGAGGGAGGGCTCCGTCCATTCCTTGTGAACATTAGGGAGAGAAGGGAACATCTTTCTTAGCCTTAACTTCATGGAAAACAAACCTTATGCCACAGCCCATCACCATGGGAAATTCTCAGTCAGCCATTCCCCATGCCACACCCCAGGGATGTTTCATTTCAATACCACTTGGCTGTGATACAAATTAGACAATGTGTCCCAATGGCCTGAGAAAGGTTCAAATTCTCACTGATCTTGACAGTTTTTGCTGCCAGCAGGACAAA